AAGTTGATAATTTAGGCTTCATTAAAATTAAAAACTTCTGCTCTGTAAAAGACACTGAAAAAAATCGAAAGAAAAGCTACTGAGAGAAAATTGTTGCTAGTACCTAAGGGACACAAAGACTTCTTAAAATTCAACAGTAAGAAAACAAAATGGGCAAAAGATTCAATAGACATCTCAGCTGAGACATACAAACTGCAAATTAACATATGACATAATGTTCAGCATCAAATGTCATCAGGGAATTGCAAATAAAAACAAGGAGCCACCTCTACCCACCTACTAGAATGGCCCCAATCCGAAACACTGATATTAAATGCTGGCAAGACGTGGAGCCACAGGAACTCTCATTCCCGGCTGGTGTGAATGCAAATGGTGCCGCCATATGGCAGTTTTTAACCAAACGAAACATACTTTTATCATACAGTCCAGGAATCATACTACTTGGTGTTTACTAAAGTGAGTTGAAATTTATCTGCACACGAAAACCTGCATAGCAGATCCTATTGAAATCAGACACAAAATTTTTATTGTATGTTTCATTCTGATTCCTTGTCCAATTTTATAGATTCTTTTTTAATATTGAGAGGAAACTTGCTATCAAATTCACTCTGAATTTGCTGAAAATATCTCTTCATACTGTCATCTTTATTATCTTTATTTTTTATTTTACACATTTGCAGAAAAATGCAATTGCCATTATGTCTAATGCTCTAATATTTTACCTCACACAGGCATATGTGATTTGTGTAATGCAAAATAAATGTTTTGAAAACATAACCTGGCTGACATATTCATCTCCCTTCATTTACATTTTCTCTCTCCTTGAAATACCCCAACTTCTAGAAAGAATTGCTAGAGTCACTGTTCTTTTAAGAGTTCTAATAACCAAAAAGACTTTTATTATGTGTGCTTTCTATGCTCCCCAATCAAAATATTTGGAGAACATGGGAATAATAAAAGATACAAATGCTGGACTCCTTATCAGACATTAAGCTTTTATCTAAGTAAACCCAGCACTTAATACATTATTATCTGGGTCAGAGCAGGTGTTCAAGACATAGTTTTTGAATGAACAAAAAACAAATGTGGTCATTCTCCTGGAGAACCTTCCTCTGAGTACACACCCTGCCCATCCTCCTGCCTCAAAAACACTACATTTGTTCCGGTGGCCACCCTCCCCTAAAAAGCAGAGCTGCCCAGCTCCAGGTGATGCCTGACTGGAAAAGAGCCACCTCATTGGCTGCTGGCTCAACAGTGACTATCTAACACACTAGGGCAGATCTGCTAGACAAAGAGGGCTCCTGAAAAGGTGCCCGCGCCCCTTATGGATGCCCCTTGTCTGAACCCTGCCTGAGGATGCCTGCCACCAGCTTGAGGATGAAGCCACACCAAGGTAGGCAAAGCGGGGACGTGGAAGAAACGTTAGGGACATGAATCCATCAGCCATCCCTGAAGCCTGCTGCACTATTGGAGTTCCTCTTACCTGACGTAATGTCCTCCTCGCTGTATAAATGAGGTGGAGTTGCTATTGTTTGCAGCCAAATGCATCTAGTTGATGAAATTCCTACAGCGCTGGAAGTTGTGATCAGAACCACAAATAAGGTAAAAGCGCTCCAATAATGCAGATATTGTTTGGGGGTTTTTTTTGAATGGCCAGAAGTTGGCTGACATACTCTGGTAGGAGCCTTCTTGTGAAAAGCAGACAAAGATAACCACAAAGCCAATGTACAATTCCAGGACACAAGCAACATTCAGTCGCTTTGCTTCACCCACAACTAGAGGACGAGTGTCAGGAGGACTGCACCATGGCATCTGTTTTGGGATGCCCAGCCGTCTACCAGGCTTCCTAGGTGGTATTTTTCCACTAATGTCTGCCTGCGCTAAGTGGTTCCGTTTGGAACCTAAAACAAAACGTTATCATCTGCCAAAGAAAAACATTTGGTGAAAATACTTCTTTGTTCCAAACACCTAAAAGGACTTCCATAAACAATCAAGGAAAATAAAAGATTTTAAACAATTGAAAACACTTTTTCCAAAAACTAAAACACATTGGAAACCTGGTGCTGAATCAAGTTCCCAAACAGCAAAGCAGCTGTAATCACAAAATAACTGCAGAGAGAGAGAAAAACATCTAAACAAAATGTCTAGTTCAATACCCAACCAATCAGCTTCTCTAAAAACCATATTTCAGTCAAACCCCCATCTTCCCCACAAAGAAAAGAAAACCATCTACAAAGCAGGAAAACCCACGGTAGTGAAATACTAAGGGAATCTTTTAAACTTTAAATTTCATATTTTCTAAGAATGCCAGTGGTAAAAATAACTTATACTCCTATATTTATGCATTATATTTATTGAATATGAGTGCATTATTAAATACTGAGTATGCAATGACTTGTACTTTTATCCAATGATACGGAGCTAAGACCTGAGGAGTAAAAATTTGCACGACAACGCCTTGTCTTCAAAGGTTTACAGCGGAGTCGTCTACCCCATCCTCCCAGCGCCTTCACTCTCACTCTCCCAACTGTCTTATCTCAGAAATCTCACCACTTTCTACCCATGTGGCTCAGGCCAAACATTTCAGTTATTCTGGACTTGTCTCTTTCAACACACAATACATCAGCAGGCCCCCCTGCTGCGGAACACCTCCAACAACATACAACTAGGAGCCAGCCACGTCCCACCAACCGCACTGCTCAGGCCCAAGTCCAGCCGCCATCAACTCACGCCTCAACCACAGAACAGACTCCTGCCTGCCTCAGCCCACCACTGGGTGTGGATCTGAAGAGCCCCAAAACGCTACTTTGAGGGGATGAGTGCATCCATGTATGTTCACTGCTGCATAGTTGACAATGGCCAAGATGTGGAGGCAGCCTGGGTGTCCACTGAGGCTGAATGGATAAAGAGGAGGCAGCACCTACAAGGTGTGATCACAAAATACGGTGAAAGTTTAAATTTTTAAAAATATATTACAGTAAAAGACACAATGCCATTAATCCCTACAAAACACTCCCCCTCACTTCGAACACCCTTATCCCATTGCTCTTGCCACTTTCTGAAGCAGTTCTGGAAGTGCTCTTTCGTGTCTTTAGTTGCACTGTCATGACTGTTTCCATGTCCTGAATTGATTCAACATGTTTACCTTTCATGGTCATTTTGACTTTGGGGAAGAGCCAGAAGTTGTACAGTCCCAGATCCGGTGAATAGGGTAGATGAGGACACATGGTCATGTTTTTATGACAGAAATTTCCATACCAGAAGCGATGTGTGACACGGAGCATTGTCATGATGGAGGATGAAGTAAAGACACTCACGAAAGAGGACTTCCAGAACAGCTTCAGAAAGTGGCAAGAACGATGTGTAAGTGTGCTCGAAGTGAGGGGAAGTATTTTAAGGGGAATTAATCACAATGCGTTTTTTACTGTAATAATTTTTTTTTATTTAAACATTGTATTTTCTGATCACACCTCATATGTACAGTGGAATATTGCTCAGCCATGCATGGGAATGAATGGGTTCCTGCCCTCTGCAGCAGAATGGATGGACCTGGAGGGTACTGTGCTGAGTGGAGTGTAAGACAGAGAAAGACAGATGCAATGTGATTTCGCTTATATGTGGAATCTAAAGAACAAAATAAACCAACAAACAAAACAGAAACTCATAGATACAGAGAACATTTTGGTGGTTGCCAGATGGGAGGGGGCTTGGAGGTGAGTGAAAAAGGGGAAGTGATTAAGAAGTATAACTTGGTTGTTACAACGTAGTCATGAGGATGTAGGTTTTGGCATTAGGAATATAGTCAATAATATTGTAATAACTGTGTAGTGTCAGATGGGTGCTAGATTTATCAGGGTGATAGAGGCGAGGGGGGTTGGGGAGCAGGGCGAAAAACGTAAAGAGACTAAGAAGTACAAGCTGGTAGTTACAAAACACTCACAGGGATGTAAAGCATAGGGAATACAGTCAATGATAGGATAATAAGTATGTATAGTGCCAGGTGGGTCCTAGACTAGTCAGAGGACAACTTCTTAAATTCTATAAATATCTAACCACTATGCTGTACACCATTATATAAAGTAATATTGAATGTCAACTGTAATTGAAAAAGGGAAGTAAAAAGGGGACGGGGAATAAGAGGTCCAAATTTCCAGATATAAAACAAGTAACGGGGATGTAACGTGCACCCTAGGGAATATAGTCAATAATATTGTGACAGCGTGGGACGGTGTCAGATGGCTGCTGGGCTTATCATGGTAACTTCTTCATGCCTATAAATGTTGAATAACTATGGTGTACCCCTGAAAGTAATATAACATTGTGTGTTAGCTATATTTTAATAGAAATCTTTAAAAATTCCCTTCAGTGACTAATGCCACTCACATATCTTTCATATTTATTGGCCATTTGGATATTTTCTCGTGTGACATGCCTGTTTAAGTGTTTCGCCCATTTTCCTTTCATCAATTTATAGTTCTTAATATATATTTTAAATACAAATCCTATTTCAGACAAACACACTACAAATATCTTCTCTTCCTCTGTTATTTGCTTTTCATTCATTTTATGGTATCTTCTGAAGAACAGTTCTTAATGTTACTGTTCTCCAATTTACCATTTTTTCCCCTTTGTAGTATTTATTGTTTATTATTTAAGACACCTCCACCGACCCTAAGATCAAGGTTTATTGTGTTTCCCTGACAGGTTTCCATTTGCAATGCTTTAAAATTAGTTTTTACATATGACGTGAGTTAGAGGTCAAAATACTTTTTTCATAAGGATATCACTTTTACCCGAAACTATTATCGAAAAGGCCACCCTTTCCCCACCACAGTATTAATGACGTCTTTGTCAAAAACATCTATTCGTCTATCCTTGTGCTAATACCGTGTGCTAACAGTCAACTGGAATTAATATTTATTCATTTAACCTTGTAAATGCATTAAATAGGATAAAGAGACACACATTTTAAGCACGTAAAATTGCCATCGCATCCTCACCTCCCACATCAACCTGTAATCCATATTTTCATCCAAGTCTTCAGGCATCCTCTTCTCTCCAGCAAACGGTCCAAACTTTTCACCCTGAGTAGTAGGGACAATTACATTGAAAAAGGATTAGTACAACTATCAAGTTACAAAATGAACTATTATGTCTGTCTCTTCTGGAAAAATTTTTTTTCTCTCTCTCTTCATGCCCAATGACCGAGACACATTTTAACTAATGTATACCATGCAAAATATTTACACATTTAAAATACAAGTTAATCCACTTTTAGCCTAAGAGCCTGAATCCACAATATAGGAGCCAAGATAAAAAGGTTAAACGGCTTAACATTCAAATCCTGATAAGGCTCTTGTACTTATCATGACATTGAACTTAGTTTCAATCCACTGCTGCCTCTGGCAAGTGGACCTAAAACTACAAGCACTGAGTTTTGCCTGACTTGAGAGACAAGCCCACCAAGCTGAAAATCACCTGGTTTCCATAAAAATCATAAATTCAGCCCAATTAGGAACAAGAAAGAAGTAGGCTTGGCATTCTTAGAGGAAGACTCTTCATAAATAAAATTTAAATTCTCCTGCCAATCTTTCAAACAGCCAAAGGAACCAGCATTTCTCCAAGTGTCCGCTTTGCAGCCCCCCCCCG